TATCCTTCTCTAGGATTACGCGAGAATACTAGGAAATTCGGGGCGAGCATCGAGGCACGTAGGCACATCGCATTATGGAATTTTCCATATAGAATTATACATTTATTCGAATGACTATAAAATAATACATTAATTTTGGTTTAAATGAATTAACTTAACATTTGATTGACTCTATGAAACATATTACTCCTTTTAAATTGAAAGCATAAAATAATTATTGAAAATTGAAAATTGAAAATATAATATATTTGTTCACGACGACGATCGGCCGTCATATTCGAAGCTGTCGCTCACGCTGTCGCGCGACTGGTCTATACGCGTTCTCATTGGTCAGTGTTTTTCATTAATAATTCAAAAACTAAGCTTTAATCAGCATTTTGGTAAAGGAAAAAGTTGTTCAGAATCACTCCAGCTACCACCCCCTAAAATTATGCCCACCAGTAGCCGAACACCCTGTATATATGTATCGGTTACCGACTGTCGAAATGAATACATAGGGTAATTGGTATATAATGTACCGTCGGTAATTGTCTAATATTGTCGGTAACTAAACTATTTCTATCAGCGGGTAATGAAATTGAACATAGGTCTGTCATATATGAAAAAAACTCTTCCCGGGATGTTACAGAAATGTAAACGAAAGAACGAAGATATCAAAATAGAAGCTGTAAATTGCGCTTTAAATTTTAAATAAAAAATGTTCCTGTAATTGAAAATAAATATTTAGAAAACTCCAAATACAACTTCACAAAGCTTACAATTTCACTTATAAATCGATTTTTTAGTATTTTTACGCGACAATTTTTTTCATTCGAGTTTTCAGCCGTCAAATAAAAAAGCATTTTCTATTTTGACTGTTTACAATTCACTGACAGCTAATTTTAAAACGATTGACAGAATATGATTGGTAAACTGAAAGTATTCTTTACTGAGAATTTTAATTGAAATTTTAGGGAATCTACTTTCCATACTTTACTTTTTATATTAAAGTAACCTGAAAGCATCCTTTTTTAAAATATGATTGACTCGTTGTGAAGTACGCACTGTTTTTATACAATACTCTACAAAACTGTATGAAACGATAAGATAAACAAGTAACCTCTAAAAATAAAGGTAAGAGTTCATTTTGATGATGATGATGATGATTAATGTTATGGGCATCGACTGCCATGGTCATTAGCCCAAGAGTTCATTTTTATCCACGACGAGTGAATATAACAGTGCAAAGATTTAAATAATATTTAAAGTACCACAATTTTTAAAAAGAACCGAATTTAAATGGATGAAGGTTCATTTTAAGCTTTTAATTCTTGAGCTTCAAAATTTCATGTGTTGTTTCCTTGATATTTACGGTTATAGCAATATATAGCGTACTCGCACATGCCGATTTTTATGACGCTTATGTGAGAGTTTCCAGAAAACTATTTAACATGTACCTTTTTTGTATCGACCATTTTGTATCCATGCTACAATCCTCGAAGTTGTTGAGTGCAAATGAATTTTCAAAAATATCTCTGGAACTGGGCGTGACAGAAAATTTTTTTTTAATTACGTAAAAAATATGAAGAAAAAGTTATGTGTTTAAATAATGTATTAAAAGTTTTTTTTTTTTCGTAATCTTATGATTTATGCACGTCAACTATGGATTAAAATAAGGCTTATGTGCATATCTTTTTCTTGCAATTGTTTTCTTTTGCTATTTAATAGTAATTATAAAGTGAGAAATGTTCTTCTACTTTTGCAAAGGAAATTAGTGTGTTGAATTTGTTTTGTAAAACAAATTTATTTGTACAATGTTCTGACTAATAATGTTTTTATATGTTGCTAATTATTTCTTCAGTAACCGGAAAGGATATCACGCAGGAATATGTTTGACATGGTGACTAGTATGTATCACATTAATTCTGTTTTTCTGGAAATTATCTCTCACATAAGTTTTATGAAAACTGGTATGTGTAGGTTCAGTATATTTGCTTGTTAGTTACTTATAGTGGTTACAAGTGAGTTAGAAATAAAAGTTTACATTTTACGGGATTAAAATGAACTTGAAAATTAATTGATACTGTTGGAATTGGTGTCGATTGCAGGAAGTAATTCATTTGGAGAGGAAGGGAAGGAAGTAACACGCATTAGACACACACATATGTATAATATACTGTTTATGTATATACGTGCATTGGGAGATGCACTTACTCATATGTTAAAAATGGGATCACGCAACCTCCTTAAGTCTTGAAGTACTTTTTAAGTTACGCTAAAGATGACACCATGTAAGTTTTTGAATTACGTATGTTTAAGAAGAATAAGTGATTTCCTAAATTTACTTAGGTAAATTATAAAATGAACCTATACTTAATTAAATTCGATTATGCTTGTTACTCATTTCTTGAAGTATTCTTCTTCTGCTACACTTTCATTAATAAATAAGTCTTGGCTCATCAAATTCTGTTCATCTTTATTTTAGATAATTTGAGCAATAAAAATGGTTAAGTATTTTACCAATAGGTAGTAATTGTCGAACAAAAAAAGTCGTAACGAATACAGTTCAAAAAGTATACATATATTTCCAAAGTTATAAGGAATATTCTGTTTTAGTTGTAGCGCTCAACTTAATTGTTTCTGGTAATCATTTATAATATGTAAAATGTCGAAGGTTTTACTACTTTTTGTACCGATGTTTATAACCATATGAAGTTTTAGGCTTCATAATAAAAAAGTATAACATTTCAGTGTATGAGTGTTAATTTCACAACGATACGATCAGTGAACCGTTGTCAGTACATGAAATGCCAGAAATGCATTTCATGTATGGCTTTGTCTATGAAAGCGTTTTAACCACTCGATAAAAAATATCCAAACCATAAAATACCATTTGCTATGTTATTTGCAATTCATTAATTTACAACATAGATTTACAATATAGTTTGAGGTCGGTTTATTTACAACACATCGAAATTCGAGCAGATCTGCATAAATCTATTTCAATCCCCTGTATGGTGAACGATTTAAGAAAGTTTAGAAACAAAGTACGGAAAAAGTTTGAACAGCAGTAGGACTAAGCATCTTCTACTTAAAGAATTCTTCAATATTGAGTGTTATATCCATGTCATATTCAATCAATTCAAGCTCTCACTTTATTAGATTATCTAGCAGAGTAGATTTGTTGTAGTCAATTCTTTATAGAACATGTACAAAATGCAATATTTATTTCGTACATTTTATTCACGGATGAAGCTGCACTCACAAGAGACGATATTATGAATTTTCATCAGAGATGTGGGTAGTAAAAAACTGCCACACAATTATTCAAAAACATTGTCAATGTAGACATTTGTTTCATATATACATATAAATAATAAACAATCAGCTATATAAGCCTTTTATTTTACCAAATTAGCTATCAGGTGTATCAATCGTTTTCTTATAAACATGCTGTAATAGTCATATGCTTCCTTATAATAAATTGAATTTCAGGAACCTGATTTCATTTTTTCAGATTTTTTTAAAGTGCTCTTTAGAAAATATGCTACACTCCTCACTGACAAATAACGTATATGAACTATGTAGTCGAATAAGAAATGATTGTAGAGTGAAGAAAAATAGTGATTTTTGAAAAGGTTCGAACTTTTCTTATATGAAGATAAAGAAGCTTAATTAAAAATGAAAAGCTACATGAAAGATTTCCCATAAATATTAGTAGAAGAAATAGTAAGATATCCAGTTTTTTGATATTATTATCAGAAGCAAGTGGGACATTAAAATTTAAATAAAAGGTTTGTTAAAACCTTGGACATATTAATGTTTTGATGTATACTCATTAGAACTTTCCGTTTTTATTCGACGAATAATACCTAACTCTAAATCCTTTTAATCCTTTTTTTAACATCCTCCATAAATATATCCCCGAATCATTGATATATACATTTCATATCTTCGTGGCGATATTTAGATGAATGTAAGAATAGTTTATAGTATTCTTATTTATTTACGTAAATAGTCTATGAGGAATCTGAAAACTTGAAATTTCGTACACCTCCAGTAATCATACATTAAGTTGTTAGAAATTTAGAGTTTAGGTAGATGTATTTGACGAGAGCAAGCCATGTGCGCTTCGTCAGAGAGCTGTCCCGGTCGCAAGGGAAAGTTTATGAGGCTAGTATACAATGTATAGTTTTAAGGGCCATGGTGACGTTGGTGTCCTCACGGCCAAGGTTTTGCCGAGAAGGCATTCTTGTGCAGTCTGTGATCGTGGCAACACATCACAGAAATAAACGAGACATCTAACAGTTAAATTGTATCTATTTTATTATTTCTTTCTAACCCGCTCGTACTTTCTTGGTTTTTCTTACAAAGTAAAACTTTGGACAACAATAATTTAAAAAGAATAGTCATATGTGTTATATGTATTAATTTACTGCAAGACATAAAAGTGAAATATATGTTAGCGTCAAGCCGTGTGCAAAGGTGGCACACGTGTCAGGGTCATCGTATCCCGGATTTTGACCCGGTTCTCAGGGGTCTTGAGATAACAGTAATATAAACTCATGTCCGTCATCGAGCTAAGGATTGGTGGTAACCGATAGCTAAGGACCGCGACGAATTCTAAGAGTCGCGAATGTTATGGTTAGAGGTCGATGCCTTCTTCTTTGAGGATGTCGTCAAATCAGGAAGAACTCAGCTGGATGTTGTTTTAGACGTTTATTTTTGTTCAGACTTTTACAGTAACTCCCGCATAGAGTAAAGTTTAACTTAGAACTGAGTATCGAGGTCCGTCGAAGAGCCTTCTTATATACTAGAAATTCGAGGGAGTGCTAGCCCAGTGGTAGGGAGAAGGTCCTGGGAAAATGAGGTTTTTCCACAAAACCATAATTAGGTAGGGACACTGAAAGGAAACCATAAATTGGCGATAAAGAGTTTTTGTGGTTTAGCGGATGTTGGCGCCGATGGTCCGGCTTGATAAGCAGGTCCCAAATTTTGGGACCGAGAGTGGTGTGACAAGGGCTGGAAAGGGCTGGTTATGGGGTATGGAAAGTTATAGGGGTCCTTCTGGGAAACAGGGAAAGCTGGGCGATAGGGATCTGAGGGTTACTCGACAAGGATCACCGAAGATGTCGTGTCTCGTGGCCGATGACCCGACGTCATGGTGCTGCGTGGCACGTGCACAGGGATTAGGGTATTCTAGTAGGATCTGGTCACAGAGTGGGGAGGATATAGCATCCTTCGTTAAGCGGACCTTGAGGGACAGCAAGGCACTTAACCCAAAACTTTCAGAGAATACGGATCGCAAATTATTACAAAGACTTTTTATCTAACATATAAATTTTAATTATTTTAATTTTCGTCGCAAAATATTTGGAAATAAAAACTGTAGTATAACTTCCTGGTACACGTCTGATATCTGTATAAATTGTTATCCCCGTACTAACAGTGCGTATGTATGCAGTACGTATACATAAAACAGTGGTCAACGTTTTATAAACTAAGGCGTATTGCTCACATTTATTTTGTATTTGCCTTTGCCCACTATTTGCCACAAATGTCCAATTTTTCAATACTAAATGCTATTTTATAAAACTTACATTCAAAACTCTTGCATAACTTCTAGGTTTTTTGCATGACTTCATTTTCTTGATTATTCTTTATTTACAAATGAACATTTTCTATTCTATTAAAATCTGTTCGAATTCACCGTACAAAGTATTATTATTAATAAGTTTTCCAATAAGGGATGGAAACTTATTTCAATGAATAATTCCAAATTCAGAAGTAATCTCGTATTCAAGCGCTGAGCCTTGGTGATCAAAAAAGCAAATTCAAATGACAAGTAGAAATGAGTTGAAGCTAGTTTTTATCGAAATTATAGGATAATTGAAGTGCAAACGTATTACACAGTTGAAAACGTATTTTCTACTGTGATTCTTCATTCTTCTGGTTTCAAAGTTTATCTTATCGATTTTTCTTCTTGTATTAGGTATATTATACTTGAACAATTCCTCCTTTTCAGTAAAGTCCGCCTTAATTAGTACAAGCTATTTCTCCGATAACCTGTGAATATTCAAATTATTTTTCATGCTTAACAAGTATATTTTATGTTGATTATTTTATACCAAATTGTGTTACACTGAAATTCATAATTATGGATTTCTTTTAATCATATAGTACATATTTGGTAATAATAACAGAAAACTAATTAATACTTAATTATGAAGTGTTAAATTTTTATAAAATTGCTGAAAATGGATAAATATGATACATCAGCATCATTATTTCTGTGAATTACAGTTACCCAATAAGATTAGTGAATGTGAATTGATTGCTTTTACCTTTTAAATTTATATTTATATAATATTAATACACCGCTAATTTTCCATCCTCATGCCAATCATGTTAATATTGAAAATATTGAAAATCATCTAGCTGTTTATTAATTTAATTTAGTTGCTAATCGTTAGCATTAAATCTACAACGGAAGTTCATCGCGTTCATATCTAGCGTAATTCATTTATCAAAAGTTCCTGAACTTTTGCACCATCTCATTAATTGTAATTTAAATGCGAGGAATTCTCTTTTACGATCAATATCGTGGATATATCGAAAGTTGTAACAAGTTTTATCCATTCAAAATGTTTCGCTTTTTGTAAAGTAATTTTATTTTATTCGAAATAATTCATTTCAAAGTATACGGGTTTCATGCCTCCAGAATATTTTGTTGTAGATTATTTATGAATACTTCGATAGATATGTACATACGTATATTTTGTAAATATACATTACAATCCCTCTGTTGTTATAGCAATGTTCGCATATAATCAAGACTCGTTCCCTTGTTTCCTTTTCTTTTTCACGTATTCAGATGTCCTTTTCTATTCCTCCCTCGCATACCATTCATTGTTCAATTTTAATTTGACAATCATTTGTCTTTTTCACATTTTCTTATGCTTATAAATATTTTTATGCTCTTTTCTTTATAGATTATAATCCATTTCGTACTTGGCGCTTTCTAGTTTCTTTTTTTCTAGTTTATCGAACATTTGTGCTTCATTTAATCATTTTTCTGTTACATTTTTTGTGCTATCATTCCTTCTATCTAGTTCCCATCCACTATGTACTTATTCCAGTGTTTTTGTACAGTGTTTTTGTTCGCTTGCTTCGTATATCTTCGTATTGTTGTAGTTTTCGCGATCCATTTACCGACAGTATTCCTTTAGTGAGATGTTTGTCAAGCTTTTGATCTTTTCCTCGTATATGAGAACCTTTTTCCTTGTTTCCAATGGTCATATTTTTTGCATTCCTGTCTTCTCTTTTTCAGGTGCTCTCATGTATACTTATCTAGACTTTGAACTTTTATAACAAGAAGTGGTCTTGAAATGTAATACGAGTTTTCCAATGAGCGTTTGCACGTCAGTTGCGAAATAGGTTAAGATGTTGATGGTAATGATACATGATATTAAACGTATAGAATATATTATTTACGAGATACCCACTGCTAAAGTCTTTTCTTAGTTGTGAATGAGAAGAAAATGCTATAAGAACGCTAAAATATCCATTTATTATTGGTAAGGTGGTATGTTTTGTACAAGTCCCAATTGTTTTTACGCATTTAATAAAACAATATTTGCAATTACATATTGTACTGTTTAGTAATCCGTATCAGATCGCATCAAAATATTTTTTCAATTTCATTCGTAGTTTTATCTTACCTATATTTATTAAAATCATATACATTATGGAAATAAAGTACGTATACATAGAATTAGTCTTTTGTTACATATTTAAGATTCAAGAAATTTATGTTTTTTATATTTTTATGATATGCCACTCATGTTTTAATAAAAATAAATACTTTCGATAAAAAAATTATACTTTCATCGTAATGAATAATGCAGGTTATGTAGGCATCATAGTTTACAGCTTTTTGCTTAGTGAGGTATCCAATTATAATTTGTGTATAACGAAAGCTATAGGCATAATGAGATGTTGAGTAAAGTTTCAATAAATTGTATATTTATAAAATTACGTTCAGCATATTTTTATTAAATATTTTCATCCTTCGCGGTGTGACAAAAAAATTGCATTACAGTAAGCTGAAAATTGAGAAACTAAAGGAAGTTTATTGTTCAACTAAAAAATTTTTAAATGTTAGAAGCTGTATAAAGTAGTAATACATTCAATCGCCAATTCCAATCTCGAGAAATTATTCCACAATATCAAAAAGTGCACAGTGGGAATGTTTGATAAAATCGTTTTAAATCATTGTTGCGTCGAAGTATAAAGCAAAATTTCTATCCTTTTATTAAAGTACGAAATTATCATCTAATTTCGTTACCCTATGCACGCATATTGTGCGAAGAAAAATACACTTGTACCAATTGCAACCTTTTCATAGCACCTTTATCATTGAATACTCTAACCCCTATAGTTGTCAAAAAGAATTCAAATCTGTTTTCTTTAATTTGAATAAAATTATTCTGGTCTGGTTTTCGTACAAATACTTTTGTGATGTATTGTACGTGTCTAGAAGATGGAGTTACAATGTTTGTGTAACAGATGTCCGAGGGAAAACTCAAATTATATAAATATGATTGGAGTAGAAGCCAGTAATACGTTCGAAAATTCTGTTGAGAGACAAAGTCATGAAACATCAAAGCAAAGTTATATATTTTAGATTGGTTGACACAAATCTACAAAACAGCATGAGAAAGATTCGGAGGGTCAAAAATCTGGTAAAAGGGCGGAC